CTTAAGCGCTGTGCTTTGAGACGACTCATGGGGATACGTTGCCCAGCTGATGGTTTTGGAGGAGATATATGAAAAGAGGGAAATTTGAAAGAAGGAAAGATGGGCAGGTCACTAGCTACGCGGTCAGAGTAAGGTTCAATGGTTATCTGACCTTAGTGCTTTTAACGGAAGTTCAAGGGGAATGTTCGCGAGAGATGTCTGCCCCTTTGCTACTTGTTGCGACTCTAATGCGTATTTGGTTTTTTTGGCTATCGCATGCCTCACTTGGACAGGGAGTGGACTAAGAAGCATGACGACCACGAGAGATTAGCAAGTCATCTGAGTGGTAGTTGAGGATGGTTGATTGGATCAACAAAAACTTATGCTTAATTAGGTTTCACTTACTATCCTTTTAACAGCAGAGTAGATTTGAAATTTCCGTTTTCTCATTCCAGTCAAGTGAAAGCGAAAGGAGAAGGTATTTATACCAAGTAGATATACTGGGTAACGTACTGGACTTTGCGGCACCCTAATGCCCTTTGTTATTTTGTATCATGGCTAAAATGATTTAACCTCACCTCTTCCGTTGAGAAGATGTGTGGTGATTAGCCGTATCTCATTACTGGGACGTCTATCCGGTACAGCCTGCGCGAAACACAACATAAAACAGACTTATAGTTTAGAGCCACAAGTTTGTCAACTGGCCCGTCAACATAAACCTGCAACGGAAGTGGTTTATCGTTTGAGGCGGGAAACAACGAAAATAAGTTGTTAATAATGGAACAGTAAAAAAGTATTCAAAGTTCTTCACCAAACCGTAGGCCGCTAATATTAAGCCGCCGAGATACTACTGCTGTTTTCTGAGCAGCAACCTTAAGTGGTTTTTTAAGAGCTTGAATCTCAAACTAAAAAGAAAGAAACAATGGGAGTTAAGAAATGAAATTTTACGAGTAGAAGTACAACACGACCGTTTCATGTCAGTTCACAAAATTTTTCCCCTCAGTATATTAGGATCCCTTAGTCCTTTTCATTGTTAGAGTCTAGACCAGTACACAGAGAGTCGGAGAGAGGGTTTGGGAAACTAAATTCCCAGCCGGGTTACGCTCCCCTCATAGTTACAAAATTTTTAAGGTCACTGCTCGAAATCCTTGTCTTCAAAGTGTCATTCAATCAATTTTGGAATTTGGAAATTTTTGACGTATTGAATTTGTTTCGGGCGCACCGTACGCTATTCAATTCTAATAAGTAGCTGAACAAATACAACGGAAACGTAAGTCCAAATTAAAATCAGGGAACTATCTTCAATTTTAAAAAAAAGCCCTGTACGGAATTTCTTTGTCCTATAATGTATCACATATTGGTGACGTCATTCTAGTCAAATTGAGAATTCCAAGCAGGGAAAGGAGGTAATGAGACTAAAAAAACTAACCTACTTCTCGTACAGTAATTCTGCACGTTTTACATGGCGAAACAATTTCAGCTTTTCTTGAGAGCCGTGAAGAGCGGCTGTGGAAATCCAACACTTTTCAGCCAGAGAGGATTTTTTAGAAAAGTTATATTTTACCCTATAGTACTAGTAAACTATTACTCCAAAAAACCCTAAGAAGTCGCCTCCACTCCAGCATCTTTCGCTTCTAGTCTCTTTACACAGTTGGTAAATGTTTCAGCGTCATGAGGAAATTCAAAAACTTTGCTTTGGCCAGTTAAGTGTAGCACGTAGGTTTTCTCTAATTTTTCTGCCCCACCCAATTTAGAGTTACATTTCAAGACGTTAAATAAGGGGTACAACTCAGAACTCTGTCAAGGAGATTACGGATGAAATTCTAAGGGCTTAAAAATCTCTTTACTCACTAAACTTGCAAACGTCAAAATGAAAATTCTAGTGTTTTAACCGTACTTTGCATACAGAACCCGCTGTTCTAAAAGCTTTTGTCACACCAAACATTGGCGCCTTTATTTTTTGTGAACTAAATGCGCCTGTTTCTTCCTTCCAGTTGACCATAACACATAGGAAGCAGAATACGTTGGAATAAAAGCTACTCCCCGGAATTTCGCAGAGCAATAATTTGCTAATACCGAGAAGTAAAATACATCCTCAGTAAACTATCGGCCATCGATAATTACTGGACTTTATAGCTGCTCTTCATGGTTCCCAGAAGCAACTGAAGACAGTTTCGCCACTGTAGATTACGTGGGATTAAAGTAAAAGGGACGAGTTTTTTTAGTTTCTTAACCTTCCCCGGATCGTAACTCTCAATTTGAGCGGAAAAACATACCATTTGCGATGTCTTATGAAGCAAAAAATTCCCCATAAACTTTTTTTTTAATTTAAAGTTACGGTTCCTGTTAATGTTTCCTTGAATTTTTTTCCGCTGTTTTTATTTAGCTATTTATTAGAATTAAATAAAATAAGGAGCATTCAAAACAGAAGACTTGCAAACCTAGGAAACCAGAAATTTCCAAGTTTTTGTAGAATTGAGCTGCATCACAAGTCTTCAAAGACAGGCGTAACAAGCGAGAACCCGAAAAAATTTTGCAACTTTTAGGAAAAGTGCAATCTGGTAGGGAATTATTTTTCCAGGTTACCTTATCGGCTTTCTTTATACTGGCCTAAACTCTATCAACCAGCGAAGTTTGAAAAATTCTAAAAGATCTGTTGAGAGGTGAGCAAACCGGCATGGAAGGGGGTAAAGCAAATTGACTCTACTGGGAAATGGCGCCAAATTGATTACGTCAATTGACAGTCAGTTGGAACAAATCTTGTCCTGTTTAGTCAACTAGCAAATTGGCAAATCTTTTTTACTGCAGTTAAAACTCAGGAATGCATATCTTGAGTCTGATACGCATTCCTGGATTTTCCTGGGGATTTGGAGGCAACAAAAAACACAAAATTCCTCGAAACTAAGATTAAATCACGATCATGCCTAAGAAGGTTTCGCTTCATCTTGAGCTGAACAAGCACAAAAGTGGCAGAACACAACTTTTCAACTTTTCTAAATTGTTACAAAATTTATAGATTTTTCTGGAGGGACTAAAGTCTCAAAAGATGTTTGCAAAGTAATGATTCGGTGAAGAAGGAAATAGTTCCAAACTACAGAAATGTCTTCACTATGTTATTCTCAAGACCTCTCAAAAGCACTTTGAATGAATTATGAAAAAACTGTTGATGATACCTGTTTTGCCATAACTTTGTAGTTCAAATCCCAAAACATTATTGAATCACCACAGCCAGTGACCGCAATATGATTACTGACCACTATTAAACACCGTTTCCCAAACTAAAATGGGCTAGCTGAGAACTCCAACATTTGCGAAAGGAGCAACTATACAAAAAGCGGCGATGCCCACAAAATAAAACCTGTTGTTTGTTGAAGGTTGTGTCTGGGGTTATACGTGTACTGAGCTGACCAGTATTTTTATCCCATATCCAAAGATGTCCGTCTGAGCTATACCCGAGGAGCATTAGGGGCGTACAGGCGAGTTTAACCCATTCGCTCGTTAGGGACACTTCGTCAATAGTCCTCAAGAGCTATTATTAAATGGCTTCTTTCAGTGCAGCAGACGAGAAGGGAAATACTGTAGTAAACTACAAGTTACAAAAGAACAATGATACCTCAAGAACTTGCCGTTTTCTAAATCCCAAGAATAAATACTGCCTTCCTCACAACTAGTGTAAAGCATCTAAAACAGCGAATACAACACAACTTTTCTACAATGAATTATTAAAATTAGCTACCCACGTTGGTTATTGGGTCAACACAAATTGAAATGATCCTTGCGTTATGCTGCTTCAGCCGGTAAAGAAGCTGAGCAGAACGAATGTCGAAAACCTAAAATCATGCGCCTCATGAGATAAAGGGGAACGTACCGAAGGGAAATGACGTATGGGTCACGAAGTTAGTCGGGAAAACTATTGAAACAAACCTTTACTGTGCGGTCTTGACTAACTGTTATCAAATTGAAAAAGGTGGCTTCTATATGGGTGATAGAGATACGCTGAGGCTGAATTGCGGCAACCTCTTTAATGCGTTGCAACTGAAAAAGAGAGTTAAATAGATTATGGAGAGTTTAAATTAAACCACGTTTTTCAGGCAAAAATGCGTTTGAGGTTAACTTCAGGAGCAGTTGAAGATTAGCTATACCAGAGTGTAAGGACTCCCAAATTACCAATAAAAAGAAACAGAAAATTACCTTGTTCGACGACAAAGTAGTGTCCAGAAATTCTACAGAGCCATCGAATCGGACAAGGATGATATGAAGCCCAGGTGTCTCAAAAAACACTTTTAAAGGCAATGTGGTTGTTGACAAGTTATAAAGTCCATACAGAAGAATTGAAGAAGCAATTTGGATTTGCAAAAAACCAAAACTTTCTTACCAACAAATGGATAATGCCACTATCAGAATGACTTTTACGGTAAATGCCGACCAAGTTTCCAGCCTCTGGATTCGCAATTTCCAGAGTGCCATCTGCACATCCAAAAAACAGCAAACCCTGTCTGGAAATATTAACAACTCATTATGAACCGCGAGATATAAATTCAAAGATTCTTGTGCTTGAAATTAGACATCGTGCAGAAGCCCACCTCGCAGCCATGCACCATATTTGAGGCCTGGCGGAGCGCGTAAGCGTTCTTGTTCTACCTGAATGTTAAAAAAATGACTTAGTTGTTACTAAAAAGAACAATTTGCAGTCCCGACATTCAAAGGCAAATGGAATTTCTAAATCAGATATTTAAACTCTGTTTCTGGAAGGAATTGCACAAGGCTTACCTTCTGTAAACTGAGGACCAATTTCCTCTATTTTTTGATTTCTAACGTCTCTATTAATCACCATTACCCTTTTGCCTAAATTATTAATAATTACCTCAAAAAAGCTTTCCAAAGTATATAGAAGTCGTGTACTGTTTTTTTTGTGAGCCTTTGAAATTACATTTCTATTCTTTTTAAACCACCACATTCATCTCTAAAGAAAAAACAATACCTGTGTCAATGTCCCATACATGTACTTCTCCTTCGAGACAGCAGGACGCAACGCATTTAGAATCAATAACGTTAACAAATTCGATGGCCAATTTGTGCTCACCAAAAAGAACGGGCTCCTGCGTAAAGTAATCCAAAACACTAAGACGATTACTCTAACGGTAAAAAAAGAGCTGCACTCCTAACTTCTCCCCTTAATACCAAATATAGATTTCGAGCAGATGTTAAAAAAAATCGGGTAAAATAGGTTGAAGAAAGTAGGAAGGCATTGTTATTTATAGACAGAAGTAACAAGAAAATACCGAACTGTTTCCGCGATTCTTTTTTGATACCGCTCTTGGAAATTTTTGAAATCATTTTCCGACCGGAAATCCTATTTGAAAACTTGTGTAAACATTAATTGTGAAGTTAAAAAAATTGAGTGAAAAAAAGAAGGTAGTCTGAAGCGAAAGCAAAAACTTTACATCTTTACTAACGCCTTCCAGGTCTCTTAAATTTCTTTCCCAAAAGCAGACGTAGATCAAGAACATCCCAACAGTGGCTACAAGAAAGAGCGCTGATACAACTAAAATAAATGCCATCTGAGTCTCTAAAGTGTAGATACGAGTCCTAAAAAAGAATTAATACTTGTAAAAGCGTTGCTGTCCACCGAATATAGTTTTTACGGCTAATGCAAATTTTTTTTTTCCTCAAGCCCTGAGCAGTAATGTTCAAAATAGTTAAACCATTATGTTACACTATCTCCTGCTCAGGAATGATCTCTTTAGAATTTATCTGAACAGGCGAAATACAAATAATTAAGGCATCTTTAAACTGAAGGAAGAATTCATAAAAAAAAAA